CTTAATTATTTAATTATGGTAGTTTCCTCATTTTCCTCCTCCTTTATAAAAAGGGTATATACAAATTCAGTCCCCAAATGCCATAAATAATATTGCCACTGGCTGATGTTTGTTTCATGCAGCACCAAGGAACAGCTAATTCAAAAAAAAAAAAAAAAATTGCAATGCAAGTTTACTTTAAGCTTTTGTGAAGCCAAGTCAGAAGATAATGTGAAGAGGCTTCAGTTCACAGCACTTAGGCAGCTGTTAAACTAATACATTTATAGTGCTGTTATGCACAAGAATAGAAAGTGAAATATGGACAAAAAGCATACAACAGTAAAACTGAATGTATTTCAGTAGCAACTGCAGTGCAATTTTCCCAGCCAGCTATATAATGCTACCAGGGCCCACAAATTTTCTGTAAAGCCAGTTAACCTATGTACACTACTTGCTACAAGCTTGGGAAGTTTTAAGCCACTACACTCAACCCAGCAGCTTTGAAGTCTTGTGACGTGTGAATGCAAATTTAGGATATATTCAACTTCAGTGACTGGAAAGCAGCATACAAGCATAGGTTAGCAGGGCCAGATCAACATGATTCTTCCAAGGCCAAATGCCTGTCTGCACCTCACGTATTTTACATAGTCTGGTTGCAAATGGAAACCCTGCTGTCCTTGCCCAAATGAACTTGCAATCTAAACATAAAGACTGAGGAGTAGGCAGAGGTACTTAGCTGTGGTAGTCTGAAGTCAGTCAGAAGGCATGGTATACACACTAACTAAATTTTACATATACATATAATTTGAGCCATCTACCCTCCCTCCCTACTTAATTCTGTGCATACACCCAAGTTCACTTCATCAGTTGCTGTGTAGGGGGACAAAACCGAGTACACAGAGAATGCTATTTTGCAAGCATCCTATTAGTTGCAGGGAGACTCTTTGAATGGGGAAGTACAGCCATTTTGTTTTATTCAAGTTGGGTTTTGTTAGGAAGAAAGTTACTAAGAGGAAAGACAAGACAGAGAAGGCTGATCATCAAACCTAGGAGTTTGTGAAGACCTTCTGGGAGACTTAATCAAATCAACCTACACAAATGGGGCAATGCCACGACAAAAAAAAAAAAAATACTGGTCAACAAATACACCCCCC